TGGTCCGACTGGTTCCAGCTCGTCCCGGATCTGGTGACCACCGGACGGCGTGGGGGGTGGCGGCGGCCCGGCATGGCCGGCGATCTGGACATGGTGCTGCAGGCGGCTCGCCGGTCTGCCGGAGATCCAGGAGTTTCGTCTCCGACTCGATCTGCTCTGGTTCGTGCTAGCTCTGGTAGAGGGAGACTGTCGTCATCTCCCGGTGCTGACTGCATGGATCTAGTGGCGGCGGCTGGATCCTTTTGATCTAGTCTCCAACAGAGAAGGCGGTGGTCCGTGCACAAGAAGCTGAATGGAGTTCTTCGAACAGATCTGGGTGAAAACCTGCTCTTGGCTAGATGCCAAAGCCGGCGATGGCGGCGTTCACGACATCGTTCCCTTCTTGAAGGCATCACAGTGGAGAAGTTCTAGACTACTATCTGCTACCTCCGGGGTAAACCCTAGATTGACAGATCAGAAGACAGTGACGCGTTTGTGTCGTTTTCCCCCTTGGGGCGTCTTTCTTGGAGGTGTATGCGGGCTCGAGGGACCAGTGGACGACGTCTTTGGTGGAGCGGTGCTTCATCATACACATGGATGGTGACAGATCTCGATGGCATGGCGCCCTGGAGATTAGGAGTCTGATGTGCGATGATGGACTCGCGCAGGAGGTCGACGCTGTCTGGCGTCGTGGTGGCGTCGGCGGCAGCTAGACCGGGCAAGGTCGATGAAGCAGTACAGCTCTGAAGATGGATTGGTGGCAAGTGGCTGCGGCGGCCTCATACCCGGCAGGCGTCCTGGTTGAGGAGGACGCCGGACTGGTAGGTGCCCATACCGGCAGGAGTCCTGGTTGGGACCTCAGGTCTTAGATGTTAGGTCTGGCTGTGATGTCTGTTTGGTATTAGGCCCAGACTATTAGCGCCCCTTCATCATTTGGATAGGTGTAGCGACAATTGTTACTTAGACGGTGGCTTTAGTCTTACTATTGTATGACTTTGTAAGGTCTTGTGAGAATAATTAATAAAGTGGCCGTATGCATCGTCCAGATGCAGAGGCCGGGGTCCTCCTCCTTTTCTAAAAAAAACAATATGATGTGGTTATGTTGCAACTTAATTTGGATGTTAAAGGTGTTGCTGCTCCTACATCACCAGAACTCTATCTGGACCTAGTGCATAACGTTGTTAACTACCGGCATATATTTCAATAAACATTCTATCCTTATTTTTTGGAGATGCACAATCATCGACTTTGTTGACAAACACTCGCTGTGGAATGCTACGTATGAAGGTCCAACTAATATTAACACGTCTATAGAAAATGTCCTCTTTTCCCCCCTGTGATGACCATAAGACAACAGTTGCTAATCGGTACACGTAGATATATGGCTAAACAAGTGGAGGTCAATCTAGATTGCTAGGAGATGTCATCCTTGTCCATTTGGACACACTTTTTGAATCTTTTATCCTGCCCCTATTTTGTTTATTGTATGACTTCTTGTTCATCACCTTTTCTATGTACTCCTTAATAAAAATATGGTAGCAAAAGGTACCCATTATATACTTCATAGCCTTAACACTTTTGGTCTTTGAAACTGCTTTTACTTTATTTTCCCTTTGACTTCGACCTCACCAATTATTCTATCTGTCCTTTTTCCTATACAACTTGGCAGAGATAATTAAGGTGTATATTATCTCTTGTTTTACTGGATAGTCCGCACATTTTTTCCCCTTTCAGCTAGCTATCACTACTTTGTTTTCTCTTTGACTTGGGGATGCCACCTTTTCTATCTTGTTTTGTATACATAATTAGGGCAGAGGTGTACACTGCATTAAATTTAGTATAATTTTAAGCTAGGACTATTCTGTTTTCTCATTGACTTTTTACTTACCACCTTTTCTATCTTAATATATATAGACAATATGAGAGATAAGACTAACACATACTAAATCAAATCAATTTATTCATTCTAGTTTCTAAGCTAAAGTACTTTGTTTTCTCTCTGGCAACTTACCACTTTTCCTATCTTATGTTGTATACAAAAACATAAAAATGAAAATTAAGATGTATACTAATTACATACTTTTTATTTGATAATTTATAGTTTAAGCTAGCTTTTCTGTGTTGGAAAATAATTGTTTATGAAATACGAACCAAGCCTTACAATCAGTGGTGAGGAGCTTGGTAATAATAGGTGCTAACTCTAGGCACCAAACTGTATCTTCTACACCACCCTTAC